CTTTAAAATGGCAACAAATCATACAACAAAACGGTGCATATTTGACCTAAATCGGACAATCCGAAGCGTGTTAAATAAAGTCCTGAAGTTCATATAAAAATAATGGATTTCTTTTTCCCCAAACTAATACATTTACCCGTACGATGCCATCGCTGTTCTATTTGTAATAATGAAAGATGTGAACAAGAGGCCTTTGGAATTACTTTATTTTTCTTTTGTTCAGCTTTCTGTTAAACTTAGTTTGTTATGGCAGCTCAGTCGCTCAGTTGCGCCTAGGTAGGCGGATGAATTGGTGTTTTAAGCGGGCCGCGGAGACAATTAAAAAACAACTCGAGTGTAACAGGAAAAGAATGGAAAGTATCCGTTTAAAGGTGGAGGACTTCTTTGGGTTTGAGAAAGGGGGCGCTCATCATTCATAGATGAGATACTAAGAGGACTGATGAACATTGTAAGCGACGCTGACACTAGCACGGACGGAAATGGTGCGCCGAAGAACCACGCCAATTAATGTTCTCCAATATGCTGTACCATATTGGACGCCATATCGCGTATCTATCACTCAGAGAATGCCATCATTTTATGATGCGACGACCTACTTACAATTTCCTTAGCTTCTTGATTGACTTGTTGCCTCGTCGTCGTTATTAGGTTAAATATTTTCTTTTGGGCAATTGTTGTTATTAATGTTTAGAACGCACCATACGAACTGGTCTTGTAAGTTTACTTCAAGCTTTTTTATTTGTATCATCCTTAGATTTGTGCCATTGTTAACGTTCATGTCACATACAAGAAAAGTCTTTTTATAATAAAAAACATGTGAAGCTATGTCTTTATTACAAAAAAATTAACAATGCTTTTGCTGCTTTTATGTAAATCTACTGTTAACGTTTATAACAATCTATAACCTATCGTTGTTGGCTTGACTTGCGTATGTAATTGCCTGAAATTCATGGATTCACATCATCTTTAAAATAAATCCATATCTCCGCAATTCAGATCCAAAATATCATTTTCATATTCAAGTAATTCTTTAGAAGCAGTACCAATGACATGGTCGTGTTGAGATGTCGAAGGTTTATCCGTGACATCGTCTTCCGATGATACATGATTTATAGCCAATGATTTGTAATCAGGACTCTGTTGCACGGCTTCTGGTGAAGGTGGGGGATTTGATACTGAAATTTAACATTAATATAAACTGGAGAAATGAAAACCAATGCAATCGATTTACGTACAATTTGCATCTTGCGGTTTTTGATTTATGTCCTCTCCCAATATCATATGATCTCGGCGTACACTCAGCGAAGTCAATTCGGTTCCTTGCTCACTTAAACGTTTTTTCAATTCTTCCACCTTACGTTCTCGTATTATGCTTTTTAAGTCCTTGTTTTTTTTCTGTATTTTAAGGCGATCTTCTGAGAATATAGCTTTCTGATCTTCAGCACTTATAGAGTCATGATGTTTGAGCAAAAAAAGGAAGACCCCACCAGGTGTTCGGCGGCGTTTTCCATTCTGAAAACAAGCAAAGCAAGTAAATCATCAACTAGTATATGTCATCTTACTTTAATGGTCATGCCTCCTTCAGCCTCAATACGCTGAGTTTCCTTATAGATTTCGAACGGTAATTCTGTGCCTAGCACTTCAATGATACGCGCTGCAAAGGTATATAAAATTTTGGCTTTAAATCATTTCCTGAATAGAGAAAATTTATTGCGAACCTAAGAGTTCATCTTTGTCTTCGTGCAGTTTTTTAGCCATTTCTCGAGCGATATCCACAGTTTCACGTCCGCCCACGTCGTCTAGATCTTCTATACATCTTGGCTCATACGAATTCGAATCCGAACCACTAGTTGTAGATGAACCTCGACGTCCATGTTGATCACGGCGTTTACCCAAGCGGTCACGAAACGATTTTCTTTGCTCCTGAAATAAAGTGCCACGAGTTGATCGTTTCAACCTTTTCAAGTGCGGTTGATTTTCACCCTCAGAAAGATCGTCTGTAGAGTTCGAAAGGCGTCTTTTCAAACTGTTTTCACCATTTAAGCGATAGCGTAGAGAAAAATCGTAATTTTCTACATTCCGATCACTAAATCCATTCTGCTGAGTAACATCGCAGCTACGCATAGTTTCAGTTAAAGCTTCTTCTTGTAATGCAGCCGTCCAAATATCATATTTTTTAAAACGTGCTTTCATTTGATCACTGTTATCGCTGTTCGGCTCAATTCGCACCATGACTGTTCGTTTGATGCGTTTGCAATGACGACGTGTTTTATTCTTTTCGTCAGATTTTAAGTTAAGTTTTTTCAAACAGGTATCTGAAGACTCATCAGAAGAAGACGAGGCATCAGTGTTGCTATCCACATCTGAATCATTACGTTGTTCGTGATTGTCGCCGTCATCATCCATTTGCGAAGATCGAGTCACGGAATTAGCACTCGTGGGTGTTGGAGTACCGGAGGCTTTCGTACCCAATGAAGACGGCCGAGGTAATGGCGTATAAACTTCATCTGTGCTATCTGAAACCTTCCATAAGAATAAAAAAATAATCGATGTCGATGCAACCAAAACATTCTTTGTGCTAAGCTTACTTACCTCGCCTTCTTCTAAGTCGACGTCATAGGTCGGTAAAACTTCTTGATCCATCATTTTAATCCACTAAAAGTTTTCTATTGTACGTTGCTTTGCCCAGAATGTTTCAAGACTCATGTAAAACGCCAATGATATAAAAATTTTGCAAACGACATCAATAGCTAGAATGCAAATAAATAATAAAAAGCGACACTAATTTTTGGAAAAAAAGGCTAGGATTTTTTTTGTTTTATTACTTATAATTAATATTCATATTTGAATATTCAAACTGGAATTTTTTAATATAAAAATTTATACAAAAACTTTTTTTAAGGAAAAATTTTTTTAAGAAAAAATTTTTCGCAACTTTAGAAAAATACTATAAATTTCCCTTTAAACAAAACCTTCATTTAAAGAATGGGAATTTTTCACCTCGACTACAATAATATTGCCAAGTTTCTTCAAAGTATATGCTACCGCTGCTACTAGACTGTCCTTTCGCTGCCAAACCTATTTGCTTATGGCAACATTGCTTATATAAAGAATAAATAATGGAAAGAGTTATTTTGCTTGTAGGAGAAGCAAAGTAAAAAAGTAGCATAAGAATTTGTGATCTAATCCCAACAAAAATTAAACAATCAAATAATATAAACATGTAAATAAATATATCATAAACTTTGTAAACATGACGTTCGAAAATGTGCATTAAAATCGTGGAAAAAGTACCTTAAAAGACTTGTTGAAATGTCTGAGCCAAGCAAATGCAAATGAAGAATGAAAAAATTCTTTTCTAGCCGCACCCCCATTTTCCCTTTATGCCTAAAACTTCGTTGTATAGAAAAACCTGAATAGAAATTCAGTGTGGCATGTAAATTTTAAAGCTAATTTGTGTACGTGTATGTATGCGTGAAAGAATTTTACTTTTCAGCAGTGCAGTTTCGACAAGTGTGTAAAGGGCTGCGACTAAAGTAACAGGTGTTTAGTATTGCGGAGAAAAAGGAGGCGTAGAGTGGCACGCCCACTCTATCGGTTTCGACGGTGCAAGTTAAAACGAACATGGAAAACGAATCTGTTAAATCGGAACAAAGTGGTCGTTCAAGACGTTCAAGAAGTCACAATAATAACGGTGGGGGCGGCGGAGGTAATGTAAATAACGGATATCATCGCGATAGAACCCGGCATTCACATCGCAGTACCAATATACACTCGAAATCTGGTAAAAATAGTCGCAATAGTAGTGAATTAAATCCCTATCAGACGACAGTTCAAATGACGGGAGAGGACAATCGTGAGGGACAGGAAATAATAGAAGTTCAAATTCTTCCGCAAGACGAAAACTGGGGTGAAAATACTACAGCCATTACGGGCAACACATCGGAACAAAGTGTATCTATGGAAGATATAAATAGTGCTTGGCATCGGGAGAGTGGAGAGGCAACGTTTGGTTTCAAGTGTCGCCGTTATGTGGAAACTGTGTTTTCTTTTGTATTGGGGTTTGGTTCATTCTTCTCACCGATAGCTATGGTGGTTATGCCACGAATAGGCCTTTTCCCTTCGGCTTTTGATCATCCAGAATTAACGCAAACTGTGCGCACTCAACTCTTAGCTTGTGGTAGCGAATGTAAAGGCCTCTTGGTATCACTGGCTATACGGTTATTATTATTGGCCATTGGATTATGGGCTTTATTTATGCGCCGTTCTTCCGCTACCATGCCTCGCATATTTCTGTACCGAGCTATTGTTCTGCTCTTGGTGACGTTGTGCACTTTTGCGTATTGGTTGTTCTATTTAGTACAGGTAATTATCTCATAAAAACATTAACTTACCATACGTTATAAATTCACTTCCTCAAGGTTACCAACGGGGCAAAGATAGTCGTCGAAACCGGTGGAGATGCCGTTGATTATAAATCGTTAGTAGCCTACGCTACTAATTTAGTGGATACCTTGTTATTTATACATTACATAGCGGTTGTGCTGTTAGAATTGCGTCACAACCAGCCCATGTATTATGTGAAAGTAATACGTTCCCCGGACGGAGTTTCTCGCTCGTATAGTTTGGGCCAGTTGAGTATACAACGTGCTGCTGTTTGGATTCTACAGCGATATTACGTGGATTTCCCAATTTTTAACCCGTATCTTGAACGTATACCTATATCGAAATCCCAACGCAATAAAATTACTACTAGTTTTAAATATTACGAAGTGGACGGCGTTAATAATGCACAACAACAAAGTCAGAGCCGAGCAGTCTTGGCGGCGAATGCGCGACGCCGCGACTCATCGCACAACGAGCGTTTTTATGAAGAACATGAATACGAAAGAAGGGTTAAAAAGCGTCGAGCACGTCTTATAACTGCGGCTGAGGAGGCGTTTACTCATATAAAGCGTGTACACAATGAACCAGCACCAGCAGTGCCTTTGGACTCTCAAGAAGCAGCACAAGCAGTATTCCCCTCTATGGCCAGAGCATTGCAGAAATATTTGCGTGTGACTCGGCAACAACCACGTCATACATTCGAAAGCATATTAAAACATTTGGCCCATTGCTTAAAACATGATTTATCGCCGCGAGCTTTTCTTGAGCCTTATCTTACGGAAGAACCGGTTTTGCAAAGTGAAAAAGAACGGCGTTGGGTTCAATCGTGGTCACTTATATGCGATGAACTTGTATCCCGTCCCATATCGGGAAATGTTACATTTCAGTTGATACAAAATGACGTTTCGCTTATGGTATCTATTTACAAATTACCGCACTTTAATATTGCTGAGGAGGTCGTAGATCCGAAGAGTAATAAATTTGTACTGAAATTAAATTCAGAAACTTCGGTATGACAACAGCAACAATGCTGCACACAATCTAATACACCCACCACAACGCACAGTAATGTTACGCAGACTTCTTATCTACATGTGTTCGTATAGAAGTCAAATGCTTACGTGTACTGCCAGGTATTCCAATTTTATTTTAGAAATATTTTTTAAACTCCTTAAAAATTAAACTCAAACAATGCAACCTAAACCAAACCCAGTGTATTTAAAAAAGTATAAACGAAAAAATTTTTAATGTTTATTTCATTTGACGTAATCATCATTATCACGAATACATCATAATCATTAACTTCTACCAAAATTAGCGCTAATTGATCACTAAGGCATCGATTATAAATTTATTTTATTCCTCTTAAAACACATATCAAAAAGAGAAAAATGAAAATACTTTATCGCTCCTTAAATAGTATTTAAACTGATTTTAACTAACTTGACTTCACTGAGATTTTCTTCAAGAATTTATATAATCTAGTATTAAGGTGTTTTATAGAATATATAGATAATCGCGATTTTTTACTTTCAGTTTTAGTACAATAACATTTTCAAGCCTTTTTCTTTTACTTTATTTTGTTCATAATGGAATCCCTTATAGTATAAATAATGTAATACTCTTTATAGTAGTATATTCCTGCTAAAGATTTTACAAACATTTCCATTTACTTCTAATTTCAATCGTAGCTTAAATCCAGAAATCTATAAATTTCGCCTTCTGCATGAATTCAGTTCATTCAGTCCATTTTAGGCTCATTTACGCATTTAATGGTAATTACCTTTACACTTGACGAAAAAAAAATCAATTTAAAAATTTTAAAAACATATCAGATAATATCTTTAGGATCATTTCCTTTGAAGCCAACTCTGTAAAATTTGACAAAATTTTTTTGAAAAAAATGCTAACAATATTTCTTCTGTTGATAGCGTAAAAGCATACATTGTAATCTTAAGTGTGCAATAAGAAGATATAAAATTCAAATGAACACGTTCTTGTCGCGAATATAAAGGTAAAAGCGTATAAGCTTCGAACGTATTTCTTTCGATCACAGACTATTATAATCAATAAAAAGAAGATATAACCTGAAGAAGAACTGATCGCTCGCACATTAGTAACTGGAAAGGCAAATGTTACGTCTCAACAAAAAGAAAGCTTGTGTTAGGTGCTGGACACCAAAACTTGGTTTTTTTTTTTTATTTCATTTTAACTTTTTTGTCATCATTTTTTGTGTAATAAGCAATAATGTTTTAAATGCCAGTCATACTACTTAAATCATTCGTCGTTGTTTTTTTTTTATAGTCACGCTTTTTCAACTTGTGTTTAAATTAGGAAAAAAAACTTTAAAAATAAACTTTTATTGAAAACAATTGAAAACAAATGGGAAAAAGAATGATCTATTTATTACATTTTAAGTAGGGGGAAAAAACTAACTCACTAATCTTATAACTCATTTTAAATACAACTTATGTTTCCTCAAAACAAAACAATAACAGACACTTAAGAACAATATTAGTTAACAATAATTAGATATCATTCTAAGAAAATCAAAATACAATTGAATAAACATGTAAAATAGATAAGCCCCGTATAACATGATAGTTGAAAATACCGTCAAATTTGGAAAGATTTACTCCACGAAACAAGAAAACTGATGCGAGAAATGCTTCCTCTTAACGTTTAAAAATAAACCTTTTCGTAAATTCATTTTCATTTCCTTTCCAATTTACCTGGCAAGTACTTCCACTGGAATTTTCTTTTGCGCGTCAATTGGGAGATTCAAAACGGAAAAGTTTGTAGAGATGTATCTAATCTTTCTGCTACTACGGCGCAAACCTACATCTAATTGTCTTTTTGCATGATATATACGTTCCAAAAAAATTCGTCTAAAAAAAGACGTAAAAAAAAAGATATTGGCTAAATGAAAAAAATAGTAAACTTGTTTCGGGCCCAAAAAAGGAACTGAAAAGTACAATAAACAATTTAAAAAAATTATTGTTAAAATTCACTTAAGAATTTATTTCCTTCTTACACATTTTTATTTATTAAATGTGCTATAAAAAATACACGATACTTCGAAAAGCCATACTAAATTGCGTAGGTAATGCGTTATGTCTTTACTATATACATAATTAGGATAATTAGGGGAAGCTTATATATATAACGCGAAGTTTTGTGGAAAAAAAATTCTTAAAAAAATTCATTGAATATTGAAAATTGTGTCAAACCAAATGGCTTTGATCATCTGTTTGCAGTACGTACAAGTGTCAACTCGGCGGCTTCAAAAATTTTATGCATAGTTCTGAGTCAACTTAGCCGTCCTTCCGCTTTTACCAACGAACTGTTCCACATTAAAAAATTGATAAGGTGTCGACAAAGCCTACATCGGTTGTTGAGCTTTGCTATTCGTTCGCTTATATTTTTTAAAGAACAATATTTATAAGAAACTAAGCCAATTTAAAACTTTAACCGCATATCGCTTTCTTTTTTCGTAATCCACAAGCTTTTCAAAGGAATTCGGGCTACAGACATCTCATGTTATAGAGGATTATCTAGGTAGAGGGTGTTCCAAAATTATATATCCATTTGGTTTTGCTAATATTCTTATTGTTTGCTTAATTAAAAAGTTATTGACAAGGAGGTTATATGTGATACAGAAATAAAAGCACCTTCGCCGTTCCCCCAAATTGCAAAATTTTGGAATCCCCTCTTTGTAGATAATAATGTATGTGTGCTTATAACTATAAACACTTTAAAGTTTTTAATAAAAAAAAGATGTATTAGAGAAATACTCAAAGAAATACAAAACTCATTTATCATCATTATAACTCAATTACAAATATGAGATAAATAACAAAAATATTGGAGACTGTATAAATATTTATTTTACTTATAGCTATTAAAATACTTAAAGGGAATATATAAAAGTTTTTCATATATAAAAAAGTAAGTCGATGATCATATGTATATACGCATAAGCACTTTTAATTCAATACCTTTTCATTTTTTTTATATATATATAGTAAGTAATTTCAATATAAAATCTCCGACATTATTGCAGAATATTTATATAATATATGCATGTAGGAGAGTCAACATTTATGCGTTGCTTCATTTTCTTTTTGGTTACTCATTTTACTATTAAATTCTACATATATGCATTTATTTATATATATGCATTTATACACACACTCAAAATAAGCTTCAGTTTTTATTGCTTTGCCTTTATCATTACTTTTATTAATTATAGGGTAAAATTGTTCAATTCATCTGTGAATGGAAAAATAATTTCGCATATACATTTTATTAAAAGAAAAAAAAAACATTACTTATGCCAATATAAGAAATAAGTTTTTAAATAAAGGCTGCAATTTTTTGTACACAATCAAAAAAAAACAACATTCGCCTTAAAATTCAAAAATATTGAATACTGTTCGCACGAGGTATGTATATCTATAGGAAAAGCGTTAAATTTTCTCCGTATTGAATATAGCTGCGTTTTCTCGTCAAGGATTTTTCTCAGACAGGTTTATTTTCAATAATTCGTATGTACTCTTAGCTGTGCGACATGCCTCGCAATCTTGTTGCCAAACACATTAAGACAAAATAGCCAATCTAGTCGAGACCATGGTAGTCTATTACTGCGCTTCTTTTTTTCCTTACAGTTTTCAAGTATATCATGGACATGGATCACTTTAACTTTCACCATAAATGTGTAGATTTTGATCTTCTTCTTCTTCAGTTCTCACCAGCGCTCGAAATTTGCAGTAAGCCGTAAATCTCGAAAAGATTAAGTTTGTGTGGTGTCTCTTTAATAAGGATTTCTGCGAATTACAATATTAAAAGTGAGTGAAATAGTTCACCTCACGGGCAATGTCCTCGAAGTGAGAACATCTTTTGCTGCTTAAGTTTAAAGATAATAGTAGTCCAATGAACTATAAGATGAATATGAGTAGTTCGCTATAAATGAAAAACAAGTGCACTTTGCGGTGTGTAAATATTGTTATGGAATTCGCTTTTGTAAGATACAGTGCGAATCACTGGATCGTGGATATTTTGATTACAATTCTATTCCTTAACAGTTATTTACATTTATTTATTCTTGCCCGAGTAACTCTCCCTTCCACAAATAGTCCATTTATACACATTGTTGCAAGTATGTTACTATACCTAAATTTTTTTTTTATTTCTAATTCCAGCCTGCTTTTCCTCTAATCGTTTTCATCGGCCTGCAGCTGCACGACGCGCCTGCGAATGCGCATTTGGTTTTTCCTTCTTTAGGGAATTTATTATTAGGGAAAATTACTTAGCTGAAATTAACTGGACTTGGGATTTTCGTAACAATATATTAATTTTCACATATTAATTGAGAGATATAAGATTTGTCCTAAGTCACCTTAGGACAAAGTCCCTAATGTTTTGACAAAATGTATATACCGCCGTCCTCTTTAATCATTCTAATTATTACGTACACCCGACTGCATTTAACGTATTCCGTGCCAGCATATGGTTTAATAACAGACATGAACGACATTATTACAGTTCAGTTTCAGGCTAAAAGTACTTACCAGTTTATTAATAGTACTCCTTGAGCTCTTCCATTCGCCAAAACTAACTAATGTCACTAAGTATACGTTTATTTTGTAATCAAACAATTAATTTTATTTAATGTTAATTCAGTTGAAAAAATACGAAAAAAACATGTTGTTGAATTTCGATTACACTTACTATCAAGCAGCAGGGGAAGCTGGATTTAAATTGCGTCTGTACAAAGATGGTCCGCTGGACTGGCGTGTAATTGATAGTATATCTACGCTTATTCATTCCTTTGGCATCAACGCTAGAAATAACACGTCATTTGACTTTCGGCAAACGGCAGCTGGCTTCTCGTGTTTTATCGGTGTTAGTGAAAAAAAATAAAAAAAAAATAAAAAAACCAGAATTTAAAGCAGGAAGTGAAAAAAAAGGTTTAAAAGAAACGAAATTTTTGGAAATTTAAAAAAATAAAATATATATATATATTTGGTTTTTTTCTTTTTTCATCCGGATTGGTTCCGCCAGACAAGTGCTACAACAACATCAGCCTGTCCCCCTGTGGAGGTCTGAATAAATTGTCGCGGATAGAGACGATTTCGAGGATATCTATACGAATGAGCATAACAAGAGATCGGGGCTGGGCGGGGATATTGTTGGTCTATCTCCTAAAGGAGGAGCTATAGTTACAGATTTGACAGGGTTCAGAAAGCAAGTAGTTAATAAGCCTTCTTATTTTGGTGCCGAAGCCATTCCAAATCATGATATCAATTTGTATGATTATATTTCGCAAGGCAGTTCGGTAGTTTTTGTTGAAACTTCTGAAAATGCCGAGGGAAAACTTGTGAACATCAGCTCGAACCTTTTTTTATGATTATTTAAAAACTTTCAACATCGATGGTTTACTAGAACTAAAAATGGTTAGTAGGGGCAGAGCTAAATTGCTTTTCAGCTATTCAGTAATGCTAACAGCTTCGTTAAAGACAACGACTTTAAAAGAAGAACTTAAAAGCTTATATTCCGAGAGCTTTCACCGAAAGGTTCGGAGTAATTCGGAATGTCCCCATCGGATGCAATGAAGACGATATTATGGAAAAAGCGGTCTACGACGTTCCTATCAAGTCTGCTGTTAGGCTCCGTAGAAGAAATCCTAACAACAAAGACGAGTTCATTCCAGCAACTAGCACCTAAATATGTTTTAAAACCAACCCAAACCCCAAAATTATGAAATTTAATTTTTGTAATTTGCCCGTAGAGTACTTTGTACCGACCTCAAAGCAATGCTTTAAGTGTCAAATCTCCAAGTTCTGCAAAGCGAAGGAGGAAAGGTGCTCAAACTGCAGGAAGTCTCCCAAGTGTGATTAGTGTGCCACAACGAGATGCTTGTCCTGTGATTTAGGTGAGCACAATACTCTAAATAAGTGTTGCCCGAAAAGGGAGCTGGAATTAAATATCAACAAGATCATGGCCATTAAAAATCTCTCCTATAATGAAGTGAAAGAGAAGTTTTCTTCAAACCACATTGAATGTCTGTATGACAACCCCTACGTAGAGAATTTTCCACTCGTACGCCATTTCGAGCAAGGATGATAATGAAAAAGCCAATAAGATTTTAGCAAAGAAAAAATAAAATGCGTTCGTTAAAAGGAAATCTGTTATTTCCAAACCTTTTCCCAGATCACCCACCACACTCTCAATTCTCTCAATTTACTCCCCAAGCCGTCTCTAACAAGACCTCAGCGGCCAATAATTTCGAACAACAATTTGTGTTTCTCGGAACTTGATAGATTTATTTCTGCGATTAAAGAATATATCCGGCCAATGATCCCTCAGAATCTTGTTAAGGAATTCGATGAAATAATGTTTCTCTGTGCTAATACTCGCTACAATCAAGAACTCAGTACAGCGAGTAAGTCCGTTGGGGTTCCCTTTTAATTTAAAGTATGACTTCGTTTTTGCAATATAATATTCAAAGTGTTCGACGTAACTTGTCGTTTTTGGATTTTTACTTGAACTCGAACATTATTGAATATATTGCATCTTAAGTGTAGTTTTTCTGAAGGACGACAATTTTTTTGAAGTTAAAGTTTCCAATTATGTTTTAGCCACCAAATGCCGAGAAGATGGCTATGGTGGTGTTAGTATAGTAGTCAAGAAAGGCATCAATTTCAGACATATTCCTTACAATTCTGCTGTTAACGTTATCATCGTCAAAACCATAAATTTTAAACAGAATCTTTTCGCAGCATCATGCTACCTTCCACCCAATCTTGAAGTACAAACCTTTCATAATGAGATTCAGAGATTATATGACTTTCTTTGAACGAAATATGATTCCACCTGGAGATTTCAATGTAAGACATTGGTTTTATGGCGATCAAGTCTCGACCAACAAAGGCAAGATTCTTGTAAATGCCATCAATTCCAGCAGTTTCAGTGTCTTAAATATTGGCGATATTACCTTTCACTGTAACCGGAATGGTCACACGGCGAGAGTGTCTTGGATCTAACTTTCTCGAATTCAACTATTTTATTTTTCAACGGCAATTGGCAAAAGTCAGCACTCTCTCATTTTATTCCTCAGTTGCAGCAATTTCGTTAAGATATTGGAAAATTTAATTTCACGCAACTTGCCTATGAACCATCTGTCTAAAATTGATCTTCCTTCCGATTTATCATCAATTCAAAGTGACTTTCAGTCTGTGATCAAGTCTGCTGTTGATATTGAGTTCTGATATTGAGTCCTTCCCACCTAAACCTTGGTAATAAAAGATACTTGGATATGCTCAAGAGCCACATTCCAAGTGTTCAATTACAGTGCCTTCAATTCCTTTCAGTAGTCTCACCAATACCCCCTTTTTATTGCATGAGCTAATGTATGTTTTACATTCCAGAAAGAGGGCTACTGCTGCAGGTTGTGATGAAGTTAAGTACGACATGGTCAGAGTACTATCTGGAGGAAGCTTAAGTATCCTCTTGCATGCAATTAACGACTGCTGCTCTATTAACTTTATACCTTCAGATCTGCGATGTACCAAAATGGTTCCCATTCCTAAAGCAGGTGAAGACTTATGCTTTAAGTGACTTCAAACCAATTTCGCGAATATCTGTATTCATAAAGATTATTACCTCATGGTTAAGGAGAGGCTAATGGATTTCTTAATAACTGAGAACATTATTCCAGCTCTTACGTCTATCAAAAGCGCAAATTTTCTCATAGCTATTTTAAAAAATCTGGTAAAATGGTTGTTATGCTTTCCCTATACACCAGCAAAGCCTATGATTGTGTCAACTTTATTAAGCTTGGGAGAATTGTCTTAAACTTTTCGATTCCTCTTCAAATACAGCGGTGGATACTTAATTTTTTATCCAAGCGTGTGTTGGTGATGGGTATTGAAAAAGTTGAAATGTACAGTAGTTTCCCACAAGGCAGTTGTTTAAGCGCCATACTCTCCAATCTATCATTTTGCATGATCTCCAACATGACAAAACTCGCTGTGAATAATCTCTCGATAAAAGCTAATCTGTTTTTCGATGTATGCGTCGGTCTTAATTTGTATTTTATCCCCAGCAAAGCAAATTTATTTTGCAAAGGTTCTAAACGCGAAATCAGGCTC